TAGCAGCTTTGGACCCAGAAAATGCATAGACATAACAAAGTTTTAGGGGTTCAGCATTCTTCAAACCTCGTGAGTTTCAGGTAACAATCCTAGAAAATGATATACCGGGCCCCTTCCAACTTTGATGCTTTATGATTCAACCAGATGGATCTGAGAGAGAAATAAAAGGAGAGGTAATTGGCAGTGGAGAGGAGACAGAACCTACGGGCTGTGTGCTCTGCAAACCTGCCCTATGGGCTGTCTTCCTCTGCTTTTCATCAACAATAAAACTTACCCAGAGACATTTTTATCATGTCCCGCTGGAACAGATCAAAAATATATATATCAAGTGGATTTATTTTCACACATTTTCAATGAGTTGACAATCTCTTATTCTTAACTGAAATATGGCTTGAGTGATATCATCTTATTTGCAATACAGCCTACTTTGTACATCTGAATGAAAAATGGATGATCTACAGGTGGGTAAATAAGGAAACAGCCATCAGCTGTGCCATGTTCTCCATCGTTAACATGAATCAGTTTTACACGATGCGTCATATATCTTAGAGCAGAGAAAAGAGCACCTCGGGAAGGCAGAGATGAGAGTCCATCTTGACTAGACCACCAACTTCTCTAGGTATTTTGGCACTTATACTGTCTGCTACTGGTTTGTCTATCAGGAAAATGGATCTCAGTCCCTTTCATTAAAATATTATTCTCAGGAAATAAAGACACTGGTTACACTCCACAGAGTGGGGGTGGGGGGAGAAGAGGGGGTTAGCCTTACTCTATTCTGCGCCCATAGCTAAGATCCTTCCTTAGATTAACCCCTTTGCAAATGTCTTAGGTGGATTTTGTGCGGCAAAGTATGATGGGGCAGTTGCAATGTACAGTTACTCCTGAAATTATTTTAAAAAAAGGTTAAAGGGCATACCTAACTGTGGCATCGTCACAATTGAGGGTTTGTTCATTCCCTCATTCAACAGACACTCGTTAAGGCCCAAAGTGCATTGGATATTGTTTTGAGATGACAGAGGCCTGGTTCCAAAACTCAAGAGTCATATTCAAGTTGCAGAGATAAGACATATATCATGAGTCACCTAGGGCACAGAGACTAGATTCTAAAGCCAGCATGAGAGGCAAAAATGGCCATTGTCAACATTCTTCTTGAGGTCCCAAAGAAAGGTGTGGGCCATGTTGAAGACCAAGATATCTTGATCAGTAAGTCCAACATAGCCAATTTTTCCAATAGTTGAAACAGACCATCAGTTCTTTGGTTGAGCACTGTGTGAAGTAGTTGACTTCCCAGAAAGAGGAAAATGAAATTGAATTTGGTAATCTTCAGTGCTGTCTCTGCCTTGGGAACTACTTTTGGTCCAGCCTAAGCCTCTGTAGTGTTTAAAAAAAACAGAAAATTCAACCAAGTAAATTTGAAGATCTAATTGACTTTATTAGGAGATTCACAAATCGGGCAGCATCCCATCTAGCAAGTAGAAAGGTGCTCCAAGGGGTTGTACAAAATGGAGGGTTTTTATAGGCAGAAAGGTGGGGCAAAGAAGTTACTGGCAAAAGAAAAGAAAGGATTATTTTGGACCAGCACATCTTCTCTTTGGAGGAAGGGAAGGCAAGAGTTTTATCATGCAGATTGCCTCTTCTTCCCTTGGTGAGGGGAATAGAGAGGGCCCACGTGACAGATTACCACACTGGTACCAGTCAGAAGATTCTGATCCAGTTGATTAAGATTACATTTCTGGAGAAGGTCAAAACTGCAATTAGGTTAGATATTAAATGTATGTTTGGTATCATAGGTTTTAGCACAAGTGATGCCATTTTGGACCTGTAGTTTTCTCCTTAAAAATTGCCCCCTTTTAGTCAATCTCAGCCTGACTGAGAGATGTGATCAAGATTTAAGGCATTAGTGCCACACTCAGCTACCACTCTGCACTTCTTGCAGCTTTTACCAATCCTGTGTGTGATAGTCACAGGTAACAACCTTCCTGCTTAATCTCTGCCGCACTCAGAGGCCATGGCTTCAGGTTCACGATCTTTAAGTTAGTCGTTCTCTTTGCTGCTTTTCTGACATTCCAGTCTTAGGAAGATTATTTGCTTAGTAGTTAGCAGCTGCAAACATGTATTGAAATCTTAAAAGAGGATAAAATGCGCCGGGGAGATTATTATAATTACAATAAGCAGGATAATTCCCAATGTCTGGAGTGCACTTTGGAGCCATGGTCCCCAAGACCCAAACCAATCAAAATCAAATAAGTCAGAGAAAGACCCCATCGAAGGAGTCATCTTTTTAAGCCAAGTGGCTTGCTCAGTGATATTATGTAACTGAGTTTCAACTTCCCCAGAAGTGTTGATCCAGGTACAGCAAGTATTGCTGGCCAAAGCAAGACACCTCCTTGCTCAGCTAAAGGATAATCAAGGGTTATCGTATTATCAAGAACAGCTTAGGCCAGAGAGCCTAAGGATTTTTGTTGAGCAGCAAGTGTCTTAGCAATGGAATCTGCAATGTCTCCAAGAGTTAAGAAGTTTCTGATCATATTCTTATTTGTACTTACTCCTAATTAGGGAAGTAGGTCCCCGCCAAAGGAAGTGAATCCTGAATCATGAAAGCCTCTTGGTCTGTCCTTTCTAGAACAGTTAGGGGAACAGTTAGATAACCTAAGTGCATTGCCCAGCTGTGTACCAGCTACCTAGGCATTCATAGGACCAAGGAGAATGATAACCACCACAGACAGAGATAAATCCTGTTGGGACACAAATCACTTCCAGTAAGGTGGCACTGTTAATGGACTCATTCACAGGGATCACTGTATTTACCTGTTCAAGCTAGGGATCAGTCAAGTTTTTAGTACATGTGGGAAGAGAATCTTCTAGCCTGAAACAGAGTCATCCTAAATGCATTGCAAAGATAGGCACTACTGGTGACATCTTTTAGTGAGTGGGGGCAAATCTAAGCCAGATAATTATGGATAGATTGGAATCTTTGATGACAATTCCTGCAATCTGAAAGGTTAACCCACTTAGCAATGGCCTGGTAGATAGAGATGATCGCATTAACTCTCCAGGACAATGCTGGAGTAAAGGAAAGGAAAAGAAAGAGAAAGGGTTTCATGTTTAGTTAAAGTATGATGTCATCCTCTGTCATCTTGAGCAAATGTCAGCTACTTCTCTTCCTCGTCAATTTGATTCAGAGATCTCCAGTGTCTGTACAGGACCAGATGTCAGGTGGAGACTCCTCTAGTTGTGAGATGTGTACCAAGGCTCAATACCTTCCAGTTTTGCATCAGTGTCAGCGGTCGGGAGCACTTGGTAAGGTCCCTTCCAACAGGACTTGAGGGCTGTCTTCTCTGATGATGCTTCCAGAATACTCAGTCATCAGGCTCTAGACAACCAATAGGATCCCTTGGATTTGGATCCAGGAAAGCTTCTTTAACCTGTTGATGATAGACTTGAGCATAAGACATTAAAGACTTACAGCAGCTGGCCATATTAGCATGAGACAAGGGATCAGCAGAAGGTTGTATACCAATAGACATTGGTCTGCCGTTGACTATCTCCTGTGGAATGAGCTCATGTTTCCCAAAGAGGGTACTGCGAACAGTCAGTGAGACCAAATATTTTAAACCATCAATATGTTAAACACGAAGTCATAAAAATTAGAATCAAATATCTACACAATTATAATCAAAGAAGGTTTAGCATCACTTATTTGACAATGCTTCCAATGCAATTTAATGTACCAAGTAAGCTCTACTCCCTAGAAGGTAGAAGGTGATCGGTCCCCACAATATGGGAATCCAGATCTCTCTTCTTTCTGGGTCATATTATCATAGTTGTTCCTCTCAGATTTAGACAGAGAAATGGAGCCAACCGTTGCCATTGGACTGGAAAATTGATTTACTGTATGGGTAGCAGCTAGAAGAACATCTACACTTTCTGTGTTGTTGTCGTTTGATTATTGCTTTTTAGTGATTTGAAATAATAGGAAATGCAGAAACAGTACAGTAGTCCAACATTTCTTTACATTGTAAGACTCCTCATTGCTAGGGCTAGACTTCCAGGCTCCTTGCTTGAAGATTTCCAGGCCAGGCGACGACTGCCCTCACATTATTGGATGATTCTAATTGTTTTAAAGTTCTCTTAGCTTCCTCTTATGTGGTTTTTGTGTTACAGCTATGGACTCCTACATATACATACACATCAGCCTGCCTACTGCCATCTTCTTATGGTTGTGATCCTTTCAGGACCTAAGTTTACTTAAACATAAGATAGAAACTATTGAGAAGGATCTTGAGAGACTTTATTAACACATAGCATTGCCATGCAAAAGAATCATGCCAAGTTCAAATCCAAGACCCACTGGGGAGGAAAAACTTTCACAAATATATTTAAGCTCAAATTTTATGGTTTTTGAAATAGCTTTCCCCAGCCACCATAGCAATCCACATAGTAAAAGGGGCATGCAGGGAGAGTCTGACTAGTGGCCTCATCTCATCTTTGGGTTTTCCTAGATTTCTAATACTAGATTAATTCAGCTTGTCGTGATATCACAATCCAAATTTTGCTTATCATTGGAATTCTTTTGGGATAGAAAGAGAGAGAGAATGAAGAAAATAACAGAGATATTCTAAAGCATTTGGTTGAAGTAATAGGAAGGGGAAAAAAACCACAAAAGCCATTATGTAAATCTACATTAATTCATGAAAATCCGTTTAAAGTCCTTTTGCCTTGAGAAATATCACAATTCCTTGGCAGACAATAGGGTGAAGGCAAAGAGTGGAAAATTTTAGGTTAGTCTGAGTTCACTTATAACATTGGACATTATGATTAAAAATGTAACAATATTCTACAATATCACATAGTAATAATCTGTAGCTACCAGCCCTATTTCTTTCCCCAAGAGAGAGCAAGTCAGCTTTTTCTTCTCTCTCACAGCCAGCTATCACTTCTCCTTTAAGGCTTTTCTCCTTGGGTCCACACAGTCTCAATTTTTCTAAGCAACCAGCTACTTGGGAATACAAAGATGATTAAGGCCCAACCTCTGCCTTGGAGAGTTGGCAGTCTCCAATTTGTCAGTTTCCAGACACCCCTCCCCCACTCTCCCATCAGCCTCTTCTACCTAGTTTCTGATTTATCACTGTTCCTATGAAAATATATCATTTGAGATCAAAACCAGTAGTGTTTATCTGGACTGACCAGTGTAGAAGATAGTGGAAAAGAAACTTCCCATATGTGTTAAATATTGTGCTTTTATTAATAAAACCTAAGAACCTGCTGGCTTACAATGAGTGTATGGTTAGCTCAAGCTCTCTGTCCACATATCCATCATGCCTTTATGCAATTTACTTCTTTGAACTTTAGTAAAAGATTATATATGCATTCCTATCAAATTTTATCTTAATGGTCTGGGCTCTTGATTTGTGTGGTTTATTAGCATCAAAATCCTTTTTAGATGCTAGACTCAAGTCTCTTTCTAAGCAGAGAGTAATCTGCTGGTCTGCCAAAGGTGAACTAATGCACAATAAGAAGTCACAGACTGTCCCAAATCCCTCGCCATCTTGTTCCCCTTAGAAAGGAGAACAAGAAGGGTTGAGGTTCAACACTGGAAAGAATACCCGCAGCAATCTCTGCCTTTGTAGGAAAAAACAGTGGAGCTCTGTATGAAGAATTTGAATGTTCCCATTCAGACTGTTTTAAAGATATAAATCTAAATTTGTCCCTATAACACTGAATGGTTTGCTTAAAATCTGGTACAGTTGGCTCATAGGCTAACTCCCCCGTGCCTGCATGCGAGTGTCACATCATCTGGAAGGAAATGGCATTTCCATGAGCTCTTTCAAGGAATTTAGTGCTCCAGAAGGAGCAATATTTTACAGGGGCTCCCAAACTCACCCCTGAGGTACCATAAAAGATTAAGCTTGCCTCATTCATGGGAAGTAGATTTTTTAAAATCCTGATTTATTTCAAATTTGTGTAATAAAGCATTCTGATCGGCCCCTTGTGGATAAGAGAAACAAAGAGGATAGAAATCATGACACTGAAAATATTTTCCGAAAATTGTTTCATTCTCCCATCAAGATGCATTTCAACAATATGCAAATTAGGTGGTGCTATTGTATGGTAATTATGTCTTCTTAATGTCTCCACACAGCTCTGCTTTTGCCAGACTTCCATATTTTAGCAGCATAATGGTCACTTTGGAAGGGATGAACACCCATTATATCTGGAGAAGTAAGACCTTAGAAAATCAAATTCAGATAATGCAAAGAATATACTTTCCATTGCTAATTTTTTCATAGTTGTCTTAGCAAGGGAGAAAAATAGAGTGCTCTCTCCAGAAAAAAATTGGATAAAATGCAGATGAATTAATTAGAAACATCTTGAAATACAAATCCCTCAAATTCTAAACTTGTACCTAAAACCTTTTACAGGACCATTGGACACATAGGTTGGACAGATCTCAGTGCAGCTGTAACTCGTCAAAGTATGTGCCATGGGATGCGAGTTCTGGGCAATGTTAATAAATGCTATCTTTTAAAAAGTTGTTTTTTTGTCAAGTAAATGTGCAAAATGCACTAGATTAAACAAAATTAACCAAGTTTCATTCCTATAAGAAGACTCTCAAATATGGCAATATTCAAGGGGTATCTTTCAAAGCCAGGTAAAAGATGCAGCATTCCCAAGCTATCTGGAAATGGAATCCTGTTTTCATAGAGACTCAAGAAATGGGTGCGCCAAGAAATACTCTGTGGGGAACATTGGCTACACCAATCCCTAATGTTATAATAATAAAACTATAGCCCACGAAATTAAAGAGACTCATCTGAGGTCATCCATATGACTCAAGGTTGAATTAGAAGTAAAATTTTAGGTTCTCTGATTCTCAGTACAGCTCTCTGCTCCCTCCTGCACATTCACTGCCTACCCATTTGGCAGAAACTCATCTGATATAAACACATTTATAAATTTCCACTTTTTAGGATATTCCAGAATTTTCCAATAGGGAACAACAAATCTGTAATATCCTAGAGTATGCTTTTCATTTTCTAAATGAATTTTATAGTTAAAAAAATGAATGTCTACTCCCAGGTAATTGTTTAAATAAATGCAATCCTTTACAACAAGGGTCTCAGACCTCATTGCCTCAGGGGCCAGGGAGGTAATGCAAATAAAACAGCTCAGCTGTAGTCACTCCTGCTTTGTGGAAGTCTGAGCCCTTTGTTGCTACTTCTGATTTCTTGAAAGAGAAAGCCAAATATAAAAGTTTTTATGTGAAACTTATTAACTTTAAATTTTTGCAAGTAGTTCAAATTAAAAAATAAAAGAAATTGCTGGCCAACAAAATACATCTGCAGGCAGAATTTAGCCTGAGGCTGCCAGTTTCCAGTCTCTGCTTTACATTTTGGAATTAGTCCACTTCTCCCCCTTAGTTCTGTGGGGGTGCAGTGGTGGGAGAGAGACTGGGTATCTTGGGGACAGACTCAGACACTCAACAGCCCAAAGATATCGCCAGCTTCCATTTTCCATTACAACCAAATGTTGCAAAAGAAGGGAGAAAGCCAGAGATAGAAAGTTAGAGATAAAGAGGAAGAGAGAGATCAGGTAAGATCTCTTCACTTTTATCTTTTTCTTTTTAATTTATTTTTTAATAAATTTTATTTTTTAAAGCAGTTTTAAGTTCACGACGACATTGAGTGGGAAGTACAGAGACATCCCCTATACCCCCTGCCTCCACACAGACTGCCCCAGTATTAACGTCCAGAACCAGAGTGGCACATTTGTCACAATAAATGGACCTACACTGATTCATCAGGTTGTAGTTTACATTACAGTTTACTCTTGGTGTCGTACATTCTGTGGGTTTAGACAAATGTATAAAGACATGTGTCCATCATTATAATACCATACAAAGTATTTTCACTGCCCTAAAATCCTCTGTGCTCTGCCTATTCATCCCTCCCTCCTCCTAACCCCTGGCAACCGCTGATCGTTTTTACTGTCTCCATGGTTTTGCCTTTTCCAGAATGTCATATGGTTGGAATCATATAGTATGTTGCCTTTTCAGACTAGCTTCTTTCACTTAGTAATATGCATGTAAGGTTCCTCTATGTCTTTTCATGGCTTAATAGCTTATTCCTTTTTAGTGCTGAATAATATTCCATTGTCTGGGTGTACCACAGTTTTTATCCATTCACCTACTGAAGGGTATCTGAGTCCCTTCCAAGTTATGGCAATTATGAATAAAGCTGCTATAAACATCTGATGTAGGTTTTTGTGTGAACGTAAGTTTTCCACTCCTTTGGGTAAATAGCAATGTGTGAGATTGCTGGATTGTATGATAAGGGTATGTTTGGTTTTGTAAGAAACCACCAAACTGTCTCCCACAGTGGCTGTACCATTTTGCATTGTCACCAAAAACAAATGAGAGTTTCTGTTGTTTCACAACACTTGTCTCTTTTAATGCCTGATATAACTTACTTGTACTGAGCTGACTGATGGAAATCCACTCACTGAGTGACTTGGTGCATATAGTTTCTTCTTCAGGGAATTGAGTCTCACAACACCTGAGGGAGGAGAGCCCTTCTGTTCCTCGGCTATTTGGTTAATTTTCAGAGTTGGACGTTGCCTGGCAAAGCGCCTTCTCACAGGGGTCTGGCCTCAGACACTGGCCCTCACGAGCTCTCTCCCTCCACATTTTCATTGGGAGAAATCCATTTCCTCACTACTATTCTTGGAGGCAGTCTAGCAGCATAGACTGTTAAAGATTTTCCCCTCAGGCTTTTAAAATAGCCCAACCTCTAGTCCGAGTGCTGGCAAATTGAGCTGAGTAGAGATCTGGATAAAATTAGCATGTCCTAAAACCTGTATGGTAGCAAATTTTGCTTTTTAACTTCTGTAACCATTTTCTTACACAGCAGGCTCAATTAACACACAGGCAGAAGACAGCTTTATTGTCCCCTGTTACATGTTCAAATTCACTGCTGGTATGAAATCTTGGTCAGACCTCAGAACTTTCAGGAGTCACACTCAGATAATTACAAAATCTCCCCATCACTTTCCGTTCTCAAAACAATCTCAAATCCAGGAATTAAAATCTCCCTTCCAGTGCAAGAATCAAAACTCTGAACTCTTACCTGGTAGTAGAGATTCTCAGCCCCCAGCTCAGTATGCTTTGAGTCTTTTAGTTTTGCTGAAGCCCGTGGGGAGGGAGGGGAGCCCAGTGGACTACTACTCGGCCTCCTGGTCCTCAATAGCTGATTTACCCCTCCAGGCCCGGGACCGGAGGGTGGCGGGCAGAGAAAAGAGCACAGTCTCACGTGGCTGCTGCTGCCATAATTTGGCATCAGCACCCTCTGCACTGGCATTTTTTCCTCTAGTGGGGTACCTCTGTATGTTTCTCAGAGATACCCCTCTAGGAACGTCCAACTGTCTTGTGGGGATATTTCTCTTCTTCTAGTCTCATAGGATTCCCTCTCTTAGGCTCTGGAGTCAGACCACAGGAGTTTGCATCGTTAATTGTGAATAAATTACCAAACCCCTATGCCTCAGTTTCCCCACCCTTGAAACAGGATGATAATAGAATCCACCTCATAGGGCTCTGAGAGGGATTTAATGAAATTATTAATGTAAAGTATTCAGACTAGAGCTTGGCATATAGTAAGATCTAGTAATAAATGTCGTTATTGTTAGTATAATGTACCAATAGTTTGAAGGCAGTTTCTAGAAGATTATTACCAAAAACACAAATTCAGTGTCAAAGAAGGCAGTATAAATGTGAACTAGCTACAGAGAATTCTGGCACAGAGAAATAAATATGTTCTAAAGTTACACACGATGTTTAGTAAAGTGGAAAAACACTGGGCTCGCCTTCAGGAAACCTGAGTTCTAGTCCTGGCTCTGCTACAAACTGCTGTGTGTTTTTGAAAATGTAAAAGAACCTCTCTGTTCTGCACCTCAACTTCCTCCCTAAATTTAGATTAAGAAACTAGTTTTAAGTTCCTCTCTTAATTCTGCTGGTTT